GCCAAACTCAATACATGCATAGGAATCAAATTGAATTCCATTTAAATTCAACTGAAACATGATTAAAATTCCTTTTCAAACCTATTTAGAAATTCCACTAAAAATCAATTGAAATCGAATTAAATTCCATTTGGGATCAGTTGAAATCGAATTAAATTCCATGTTTCAAATCTATTGAAATCAAATTAATTCAATTTTCAAATCTATTGACATCGAATTAAATTCCATTTGAACTCAATTGAAATGGAATTAGATTCCAATTGAAATCAATTCCTATCCTTCTTAATAGAGTTCCAAAAGCCCCCATGACCGAAGAATGATTTTCTTGTGGATTTTGAGTAGGGATTCAATACATTCCTATTCAGTTTGTACTAGAGCTCCAAGAGCCCCAAGGATTTCTAATAGAGATTCAATACATTCCTATTCAGTTTGTACTAGAGACGATTTTTAGTAGAGAGTCAATCAATTCCTATTCAATTTGACTACAGCTCCACGAGCCCCAAGGATTTTGAATAGAGATTCAATACATTCCTATTCAGTTTGTAATAGAGCTGCAAGAGCCCCAACGGTTTTTTTAATCTGGCGGCCTCAATTTCTTATTTGAGGGGGGTTCCCCCAAACTAATCAAGTGCTAGGATTAGGTTGAGAGCGAAACATGCTGAAGCTGTGACCCCCAACTTTTCCTGCCTGCCTTGAGCGCACTCATAGTTCCACATTTCTCAACGAATAAGGATAAGAAGAAGACTGCCTCAAGTTAGTTTACATTCGCCATCTCCGCACACCTCCCGCAGGCATTCCACCATGCTTCTGCAAATGAGGTATGCGATGGTCAACTGAAAAATTGGAAACCGAAGCCCGATCATATTGGAGGCTCGGGATCGAGGATTCGAAAGCGTGAGGCTCATGATTTCGCCATCTGACCGGGACAACCATGCGCAGCTCCACGAAAACTCGTTAAAAAATGCCCAATAGCCTGTGATTGAAAAGGTACAGCGGGAAGCACACTCGCTCTTCCGTCACACGGGCGGCAGAGCTTCCAATCAAATCAAGAAGAGCAATACACAAACATTGCCCAAAAAAAATCCCGCGAACGAGCGCAGTGAAATCAGGAGCCAATGGGCCTTGCCCAGAACCGTAAGAACAGATACGACGGGTCATTCACAAGACCTCTAATCTACAATGGTAATCGTAGGCAGCAAACGAAGCCCTGTCCTACGTGAAAGCATGTTCACTCCCGTCAATTGTGCTTTCGCGTTGCACTGCGATAAACCGTGCATGGGTTGAGATAAGTCCCCGGCATAAAGTAGTCAAACAAGCGGTCCAGGTACTGGACCTTCCCAAAACGCCATCAGGTACAGGCAGATCATAGTGCTGGTGATTACTCTGATCATTCATCTGTTGGTTTGGTTCCTTGTGCAGCTTTATCTTACCTCTCTCAACAGGTTGCCAGCACGGTCCCGACGCTTGCGGGCTTCCCATCCACTCTGCGCTCGTTTGCCCTGTCTGTAAAATTGTGTTGCCTCAATAAACGCGGTAAGAGAAATCTACCAGTCACCTTCATCCTTACCACGGAGCTCATTTGAAAAAAGCACGGCAGAATCTGGAAGCCTTGTGCAAAGCTGCTTCATGCGATGTCAGAGGTGCTGATTTCGAGCCTGGGCTGCAATCTCCTCAGCGGTCATACCTGGATTGGCAGACGCATCACCTCACAGGAATTGAAGACGGGAAGATGCCACACAGTCCAAAGGACTGAGGGGTCCACTGGTGTCCACAGGCTTTGAATCAAGCCCTGGAACACCGGCGCTTTCGAAGGCATCCGTTTGCGGACCATCTTTGACCTCTCCAGAGCTAAGCTAGAGGCCACTCCAGTCTTAGCGAGGTCACACAAAGCCACACGACCTCGCGGACCAGGTCGAACTGTCCAGGCTGCAGCCGGCTCGGAGGCGCCACAAAGTAAAGGACGTGCCTGGCAGCTTCACAATGTCTCAGCCCAAAGGACAAGGACAAGCCAGGCAGGCGCGAAAGCAGAGGGGCAACGCCACGAAGCAGGCCACCAGGCATCGCCAATGTTTTCTTCAATCCTGGCGGACATTTGTGGGCTCCACATGGAAGAGGGAGCTTGGCGCAGGAGCCAGGCTTCAGGGGGTTGCGGACATCATCTGGCAAAATGACTTCCAGAATGCGGAGCTGATAGCAGAACCTTGCAGGTCAAGCCCTCTTTCGTGCGTCTACTTGACAGAAGCACAACCACAAAACCAAAGTAACGGCTGCAACTCCTTTTGCCTTGTCTCCCTGAGCTCTATACTGGCAGATGTACGCTCCAAATATGCAGATCCTGCCATACAGAAAACATCAGGAGCCATGCAAGCACAAGATCCTTTGGTGTCAAACGCCCAATGAGGTCCAGGTGAAAACGATCGCCACAATGTTGAACTGGGTTCTGAAGTCCAGGGACATGCCTTACTTACCAAAAGAAGAGCATGTACGACAAGCTAGGAGATCTCTTGCTTGGTTATGCAGGCTACCATCTTCAGAAGAGTGATCAGCTCAATGCGTAGCCTGACGCAAGAAGTACTGACATCTGTGGTCCCGGCCAATCGTTGCAAAAGCCACTGAGACAGGACCCAGCCAGAGAAACCATGCAGGGGTACGGTCTGTAGACCTGACACTTCTGTGTCCAGAGAACTGCTTCCAATTCCCGAGGCGTTGCACCAAGCAAGTCAGGGCCACTTCACACGGCCCTGAATTATGTCGAAGCGGAGGAGGAGAACATGCAGCACCTTTGCAAAGGAATCAACATCCTTCCCTTTGATTGATCAACACAAAGCCAAGAATGGAAGCGCAAGACAGAATCTCTGAAATTTAGCCCACCTGCATAAGGCAGGGGAATCATAACAAAAAAAATTCGGACCTCGATCACGAAGGCTGTCGCGTGAGCAACATAAAAGGCACGAAGTTCGACAATGATGTGACCATTTCCTCATGTGCACGGATCAGCCAGGCCAAGAAGCAAATGGCTGGAAAAGCTAAAACACGTCTTCCCCCTTCAAGGAAGCCCATCTCTGCCCAGGCACCATAGAAGGCCAGGGACTGCACGAAGGCAGAGAAGCCAAGAAGCATACAAACGCGGGCATAAATGTCATACCTGGGGAAGATCAAGCTTTGTAATCTCAAAAACATCCACAAGAATCTCCTTGAACTTGTCCTCTTGGAGCCTGGCTGAAACCACTCCTTCTGGACTGCCGCATACAAGCGAAAATGTTCTGGCGCAGCATCTGCAGGCAACAGGCCGCCCTGAGCTTCAAATTTGAGTTTCGACGTCACTCGCCCCAACTCAAGCTTCCTTGATAAACTGGGCTAGCAGCCGGAGCCATGGTGCCTGTAACGGTCCCTGCTCGATCGGTTTCGAACTCCTTCCATGACAGTTGGTTCTTGAGCCTTTTCACTCTCGTTTTTGGGCTTTCTTTCCAAGCTCTCCTCGCGGATCCACGAAGAAGCTTTGGAGGAGCGGCTTCGGCGGCCGGGGGAGGCCTCAGGAAGAACTACATCAACCGAGCTAACTCCCAGCAAGGCTTGCGTCGCATTGCCAATCAAAAACGAGTCTTTCTCGCTGCACAAGAGTCGAGAGCAAGAGAGCTCGGCAAACAGAGCGGGCGTTGCGAGGCCTCACGCTCACTCGCAGCCCGACTTACGAAGTTTAACGGCTTCAGGGCTCCGGAACTGAGCATCTCTCTACATCGCATGCAACCTTCTTAAATAGCTGCGCTCTCGCAAGATCCTATGGACAAGACGTGCATTCTCTCCATTGGAGTTGCAACTGTCTTTGAAAAGGATAGGGTTGACGGCATGGCGCAACCTTTCCACCCACAAGCTCCCGAGTAACTCTTCTATGAAAAGGTTGCAGGCACCATTGTTGATCCCGTGGGAGTGGCAATACTCAGGCGCTTGCACATCTCAAGAAGCTCGAACTCCATGGATTGATACTTGTTCAACGCCAATTTGCCATTTGATGAGAAGCAAGTTTGACAGACAGTACAAGAGCTTCCAATCCATGGCCATCGATTTTGCAAAACTCTCACAGGGATGGTCACAAAAGATATGTCACACTTCATGTTGAGAAGAAAGCATTGCCGTCGCCTGAGATTTCCAAACAAGATCATGCACAACAAGTTGCGCAGATGCCTGCACTTCAAGGCAAATTTGCGCTTAAGCAATTAAACTTCAGTCTAGCTCTGAGCGACCCCACTGCGCCCCAGATAACATAAATGTTACATCTTTGAAAACCGAGCTTCTGCAAACTGAGTACAATGCGTCCCGACTAAAAGCAAAGAAGCATGCCCGAATTACCGCTGAGCAAACCACAGCTTACACTGATGGAGTAGGAGCTCCACTGCAAATGCAGCTTCTTCACAGCATTGCAGATGGACGGGCATCCTGGTCTCATAACAGCAGGTTTTACAACACCTTTGCAGGGCGGTTTCTTCTGCATCATCTAGAGCCAGCTCAGCAAGAGAGAGCTGTCAGGAGTCGAGCAGAAATCCATCAGTCACCCAGTCTCTTTTACCCATCTGTCCTCTGGCGCAGTGAAGGATTTGTAGGCTCCACTTGTGGCATGCTCTTGCCTCAGAGGGTCAAAACAAACTTCCAGGAGAACACTATGCACCAAGGCAGCTATGCGTGGAAAAGCTAGGTGAGTGCTGTTTACCAGGCTCATCCACCTTTCCTCTTGTTAGGCAGAGCTGTTTGGCAAGCGTCTGGAATAAGTGCATGAACTCGCGCACCACCTCGAGCAAGAAGTGCGGGATTAGACGACGAGGCGCTGACTACACATGCGTGCCTTGATCGTCTCAAGGGTCTGGTGGTTGTACATGGTTACCTTCAATACACATACACTCTGAAATGGCTCTGCACACAGGTGCACGGAAAAATGTTGTCACAAGGCTTGAAAAAGCAAAGCCACCCTAATGGCATCCGATGGTGTTCCCAAAGGGTGAGAGCGAATGTCCAGCCAGCCCAGCTCGTCATTGGCTCTTTGCAGGAACTTCCTCAGCATCCAATCTTCGAAAACAAAATGGTCGCCTCCTGCAACTTGCAGATTGCAGGAAAGTCTCTCGACCAACTCATGGTCGTTGCCGGCACCACTTCCAATTGTGAACACGACTTGCATGCGAGATCTGAATGCCTTCGCAGCTAGCTGGTTCCACTGATGGCACAGTCAGCACAGCTGTCTTGAGGTATCCTTTGAATGACAGCCTACAGAAGGCTCAGGACGCCTCGCTGTTCACAAATGCTCTGTAAAAGCCATCGGAATTGTCAATGACATCCTTGCGTGATGACGAGGAGCACCAGCCGAGAGAAAAAAAAAAACTACCTACTACGATGGCCGACCGCTGGAATTTAAAAAAACCTTCCGGAACAGTTCTTCACCCAGACCAAGCAACGTAAAGCAGCCGAGAGCGCTGGATTGCAAGTTCTTCGAACGCTGCGACACCCCCACGCTCAATCATCCACTCCGTGTTTAGAGCACCAATCCTTGAGGTGCACGTCACATTGTTGCATCTGCAAACTTTTGCCCTGAACCTTTTTAAACCATCCCAAGGTCAAGGAATCAAAACGCTACCACCAAGTTCTTGGATATAGTGGAATATGAGCAGCGCTACGGTAGGGCATAACAAAAACTGACATACCATTTCACCAAGGACTCCATATAGATACGAGCACTGGAACATTGTAGATCTTGTTAGGCGCGTTCTGGAACTTCACCCAGTTGCACATGGTGGGCATGGCCTTCATCTGAGTCTCCTCACTGATCAGATCCTCAGCAGTTCCATTCCATGCTGTTGGCCTTGACCAGGCCTTGCCAACACTCAGCGAAAACTAAGGCGAGCTCCCGCCTAATGATGGAGTAGCACACTCCGGCGGTTGAAAAGTTCTTGTGCGAGGCTGCATACAGAACTCCATACCTGGGCAATGATTCAACAAAGCTTTGGAAGCCGTGTGAGGCAGTTAGAAGTGGAAATAAGGGAAACTGCCCCATCACACTCTATCAGACTCTGTCATCACCAGCATTGAGCTGTTGTGCTATCTCTCATCCTAAAAACATCCACTTAAGCTCCCTGCTTCGAAACATCAATTGGCGCGCTGCCAAGATTTGCCTAACATTCGCAGGTCAGCAAAGACTCTTGTCTGTTGTGAGTTCAAGCTCGCCATTGCATCTCAGAAACAGATGCATCGCAGCAAACAGGCATACCTGTCAAGCAAATGCACAAAAACAAAAATCATCGCGCCATCACAGACATTGTTGCCCGAACTAGCTCAAATAGTTGTCGCATGCTTCACCGCCTGATGGTACGGCATCAAAGTTGAAGTTTCTGATTTCCAGTCCCTGTCGGGTATCAGCTGACGTATAATGGAAGTAGGCTGCATCCTCGTCCATCTTCCAGCTCTTACCTGAATTCACACAAAAGCAAGACAAACACAGCTCATCAAATTATGCCTTCTAGTACTGCAAACAACAGAACATGGTGTAATTCTGGAATCTAGTCGCTGTCCGGGATTTCGAAGTAGAGTCCTGTCCCATAAACATATCAACACAATGCCCAGGCTAAAATGAAACAACAAGCAGCAGTCTAGAGTGGATGTTGTTGACAATTGCATGATGTGAGCAGAAGCCAACCTTGAGGATCCTCTGCCACCTCCCTGACTTTGCCAAAGAGCCGAGCTTCATTGGAGGCTTTCTCGCTCCAATGTCCGCTCATCAAATAATTCCTGGCAATGCTTACATCCCTCTGGCCTGGTGACTCTGACAACTCGGATCTGAGGTTGCATCGCTGCTCTTCCCTCGTTCCGACCACCTGGTGCATGCCAGACGGCAGAGCACTGCAGAGCTCATTGATGTATCAACAGCAACAAGTCAGAATAGGCATTCGCAAGAGCATGAGACGGCCCGTCTGCAGTCTCATACTATCCACGGATGCCCTTACATACATTCCGTGCAGTCACTAAGTACACGAGCTGAGGTTTGGCATCGCATACTGCCTACATGCGCTTCACCTGGCTGCCCTGCTCTTGCAGAGACACAGACACGCAGCCACATGATAAGAATAGAACATGGATTCAAAGCTTCAGCCCTGCCTAGCAGGTTCAGAGGAATGGCGGAAAACTGGAGCGTGGCGCCACCATTGAAAAAGTGCACCTCAGTGCTGACGCGAAACCCCTCGACTTAGAGCGTGTGTCCCTGGCACAAACACAGTCCAACCCTAGTGACTAGTGACTATATCTCATTCACGGCCTGAACATCAATTGACCGCCGGCCTCGTGCGTGTCCGGAATGCTCAAGAGCTCTCTGAAAGAGCTTTCAGCTCGCTCCATGATACGGTGGAACGGCTTGGTGCGATAACCCATTTCAGCAACACCTAGGCTCAACAAACGGACAAGGCAACTAGCGAAAACAAAAAGTGCTCTTAATGTTGAAAGCAAGTTGCTCATGCCGCTGTGGTCGGTCTCCACAAACTCGGCACTTGCACGCTCCAGAACCTCAAGCGGCAGAGCTGCTGCTCCAGCGGCCAAGTTGATCGCCCGGGTCCTGGATTAACAGAGGTCAATTTGTAAAGATTTTGGAACAAGAACAAAAAGGAAGCGTCCCCTCAACTGCAACTTTCGGCAGATGAACTCTTGAACTCTTGATGTGCCAATACTGCGCAGCTTGCTGCAGATTTGGATGGGAAGCAAGAATCTAGACTAGCCAGTGTCGTGTGAAAGGATGCTGGATGCAAAGGTCACTGTGATGAATTGACCAATGAAATGCTCCAGGCCTGCCGGCATGCAGGGTGTGAGTCAGCGGTTTGTGCTTCAACTCTTTGAACGGCGTGCTGGAGCCCGCGACGTGGGAAGGCGCATTTGCCGCGTGTAACTGGTCACATAAAACGCTCCAATTCATCTAACAAACAAGTGCACAAAGTCTGCAGGAAATCTATTCATCGCCTTTGCTCCAGCTGCTGACGCTGCAGCTCGTCCACTTCGGCCAGCGCTTGCAACCCGAGCTCTAGCAAAGGCCAGGGCCGCCATGGGCTCCTGGGCCTTGCAAGCCTATGAGCCAAACTAAGGCTTCTTCCTTGAGCCAAACTAACCATGCAACAACCTTGCAGGATCTGTTCCGCCTTTTGCGCCTTTGGGCTTGCAGTGAAAAAACCCGTGAAGCCTACAACCCCACTTGCTGACCTTCATTCACGTGCCGGACAAGTGCCAGACTGAACGGGCCCTGCTTGCAGAACCTGCAATCTTGGCAGACCTGGCGCGGAAATTATCACGAAAACATGAGGTTCTCGAGGGCCATCGAATCTGTCTCAGACGTGCTGTGAGCAGGCACTGCAGGAATGTAAGCAGCAGCGGATGATGACAGCGTTTGTGCCAGGTGCCGCGCGTCTCATCCGTCTTCGGCACGCCAGGATTTGTCAGGTAGGGCACACGCAAGATGTCACCTGTCTCACAGACATTGCGGCCATACTTTTGCTGAGGGAACTTCCCGGCATGCGGAGATCAAGAGATCAAGCAGATGCAATCGAGCTGCTCCATTGCTGCTGCTCGAACTCGGAGCTGAATCGTCGTGCCTATGACTTGCTTCAGGAACACCCATACAAATTGCAACGAATTCGGACCGCTCGAGACTAGTCGTCCTCCCAGCCAGCCTTATCAAGCTGCCTCATGGAGGGGACTGGCACCCTGATCTTGCGGGTGAGCAAATTGGCTGATGCAGCCTTGTCGGGAAGCAAGCACTAGCCAGCTGTGCTCTCTTGCCACAAACGCTACAGCAGCCTCTAGCTCACATTGCCTACGTGGGGCCATACAGCTGGCAACAGTCATACGCACTGGCCTGTGCACGATAGGACGCATGCAGCGCCATCAGGATCGCCAGCGCCATGAAAGCTGGGCAGCCAAGCAACTCACACAAGCTACAGTATGTGTGTGTATGTGTCACAAACATGATGGTCTTTGTTAAACGCCTTGAAATGTGCAAAGCAATCTGGGACAAAGGAGGAGAGAAAAATTGCATGTTTCCACCACCAACTCGCCTGCGTCCAAAGAGCTTCTTCAGTTCTACGCAGCCACAACACACAATGCAGCCGTGCCACCAAATGAAGAAGCGTTGCATGTGAGCCACAGCCTGGCGACGTATCTCTGCAAACAACAAACATTGTCCATAATAAACACGGAGCAGGGAAACTAGTGCATGCAATTGCCATTTGCCAAAATAAGATTGTCGGGCAGACCCCATAATCCAACCAGGGGGAGAGGGTCCGTGCAAACCCAGACGCCCAGCACCTGGAAACCCAACACTTCTTGGGGAGGCATTGTGCAAGGGGCATACATGAGCACGCTGAGCAACAAACAGTACAGCGCAATGCAGAGCGCCATGTCCAGAGCAGCCAGGCCCTGGCTAAGCGCTGTGCCCAAACTTGTGGAATTTCCAAGCAGTGCAGACAACAAAATGAAGTTTGCCAGTGCAGCAGCATACTGGTTGTTTTTGACCATCGTCAAAGCCGACAAAGTTCTCAAGTCATTGCGGAACCTCATTGGCATTCGAATCTCAAATTGGATCTGTCTCCTGACCCCGAGACCTGGATCGAAAAATGCAATCGAGTCGCTGGTTTGACTGCTCCACGGCATACTCGCGTCCTGTGTTGAACCTGCCAACAAAACTTTGCTTTGCATTGTTGCGAAATGATGCAAGCCTACCAGTGCCTATACTTTATTGGCAGTAAGCCTGCAGTTGAGCCCTAGTCAAGTTCTGACCCACATAGCAAACACATAGTGCAAGAATTTGATTTCACGCTGAAACTGGAACTGTCCAGAACACAACATTCACGCGGGTGGGACCGCAGCGAAACGAAACACAAACAGGACTCTATACAAGCACCTTTCAAATCGGAACTCCGCATCGTAGAGGTAGTTGGCGCCTGCATCGATACAGCTCTACAAAAATGGGAAATAGACAATCATGAACATACGGTGTGCGTGTGTGTGTCTGAGGGTGCATGCATTCGAAACTTCAACGGGCTTGGCATTCACCAGATTGTGTATCTCTTCAAGCCTAAGTCCCTGGCGATTGTAGTCAAAGAGTCCGAAACCAACCGCAGCCGCAGAGGCCGCTGCAACACCAGCTTCTGCGGCCATGATGAGTTGCTCCTGCATAGTTCACATCTAGAAGTTTGGCTCTCATTACAAAACACCCCCATTGGATTTGTGAACTCTGGAAAGGCTGGTGATAAAAGACTCCACGGTCTCGCACAGGTCACGCTCTGAGCCCCCAACAGTCCTGACCTCTGGCCCTCTTTGCAGCCAGCCACGTTTGCGAACAGAAGCGGCTGCGACAAGACCAGAATTCAACATCGGAAGGTAAGGCTGCAAACGGTTACAAATAAAAAAGGATGTTGAAAGTACTAGTTAGCAAGTTTTATTACGAGTCAAATGAGACTGTACGTTTGCAAACCAAAACCTGATACTCACCCGCATATTCTCAGCAGAGCCTTCCTCTGTGACCCAAATACGCGATCTGCTGGCTTGTCACACGCCAGCCAGATTATTGCAGCTGTACAAACTGACAAAATGCAAGAGCGGAAATTGGAAAAATTGTACTTCTTGGAATATTCATATTTGAACATGAGGCCGTATTTAGATATTTGTCTTTCAAGGGTGCAACGTTTAGGGCTAAATTTATCTGAAACAGACAATGGAAACTACCAGTGCATTACATCAATCTTATCACCATCCACCATCCCGTCCCTTAGCTATCTGCATTAGCCGTGCGGAAGGCTCAGAAGATTCAGAAGAAAAATGATCATCCAGAATATCTGAAATATCTCTGAAAGAAAATAACTTGCAAACAAAATTTCAATCAGCAGCGGACTCTCACTGTTTTACAAATGGCGAAATCCCAGTATAGTCCGAAAACCACAATGGCCACGGCTCACTTAGCCATTTGTCAGACCAATAACAAACTCACATGGGTTTCTCACATGAAATAACACGTGAAATTGTCATGAAAAATCACACGCTCCAATCTCAATGCCTTCCGCATTGGATAGCATGTTAAGTGAAGGACCGTCGATCCCTTCACTATCATAAGATATATCTAGCAAATCTAGCACACATGGTCGTAACTCGTCCCTCTTCACGAGTGCATGCACTAGAGTTATCTTATCACCCCCCACCAACACCATCTCCTTACTGTTCTAACGCTTGAACCTCGGCGGGGTAGGGTTAATATTTTAGGGTGCTCAAACTCAACACAAGAAACTGTTCCTTGAGTGCCCTTTCCAACAGCAGCCAAAACTCAAACACTCGGTCTGAAACCTCACTCTTTTTGCTTGGTGGTGGGCACTATTCTCTGCGTTGCCTGACCTGGAACTTTTGGCACCTTGCACGCTCCTCAAAGACAGACCCGTCCGTAGGCACTGCCCATGAGAGGGGCAACTATGACCCCCCAACTTTAGAAGAACCCCTTTACACTCGCGTGCTCACCAAATTGTCTTAAAAGCAAGCTTGTCCTTGAGCTAAACAGCAAAAGTCAAACGGACACGTTTCTCTTGAGGTGAAAAAGGCGCTGCGGTATGTGAAACAAAGTGGTTTCTGCAGTGGGCTCTATACAGGTCTCATAGGTGTCAAATATCTTAACACCCTGCCTCAAAGTTCGTTCGCTGTGGGCAATCCAAATCCAACTGATTGGATTTTCATTTCCAGGAACCAATGAACTCCATGGCTCATGCATGGCTCTCAGTGGTGTGCAACCCACCATCACCGCAATTACGGGATTGAGTCCAACATCATCATGTGAGTCGACACAGTAGAGCGAACTTTCCTATGCTTTGGAGATGGTGGCAATGCAACCCTCAACGTTGGCAAAAAGCGCTAATGCGCTAGTCCGAAAAGTGAGCCAAATTTGCAAACAACTTGGGATGTGAAGAAAAAGAGAGAGCTGGCAAATACGATACACTGGTAACAAGAACTGAATAAGTTTAGGTGAAACAAACCGACCCGGTTTTACCCCCGAGAGCGCGGTAAAAAAGGAAACCAAATATTTTCGGAAGCTTGTACGCCGAAATCGAAAATGCATCATTTTTCCATGTGACATAGGCAAAACAGTTTAACATTTTCCGCAAATTGCGTGGCAAATTTGTCGATCCTAAGACGTGTGGGCGGAAATCCGAAAAATGTGGCAAAATAGGTTCAAGTCTGTAGATGACCTTTGATAAAGCCATTTTGAGCAAAGAAATTTTTATCGTGAACATCCATGCGGGCATGAAAACACAATTCAGTCTGTATTTCCGAAGATGGTCAAAAGAGCATCCGTGCGTATTTTTTCGCTGATGTCACATGCGGCTTCAATCTGCAAGACGATTTCTGATAACTGCTACTTCCAAGGCAGAGTCACTTGCGATGAAAGCTATGTCCACTAAAAATCTGAATACGCAGAGATTCCTGTAAGGCCGCGTACTGCTGGATGAATCTTGCTCGAAGTCGTTCACTGCAAGATTTGCTAAGAATCCCTTCTAACTGACACATGTTTAGTGCCATCTACAATCTCTCTATGGAGATAACTTCCAAGTCTGAAACTAATCCAATTCTGCCAACTCTTACTCTTCATAATTCTACTTCACAGATTCGATTTATGGTGGTTCATGCAGCTCAACAAACTGCCCATATAATCCAGTTTCCAAATTCAATGTTTGAATATCCTCAAAAAAATTCAAGTATTCAGTCTAATGACCAATCCATCAAGCATTCAATCATCCAAACATCAAATAGTATTCCTTGTCAAAGTTAACAAGCTGGCACGCTTTTTCTCTCATATATAAGGAAGGGGGCACCTTTGGTCACTCATTCGCAAGTGCGCCTTGCAACTTGCAAGCCCCACCTTGCAACTTGCAAGCGGCACCTT